AAAAGCACATTACCAAGCATTTTTAAGCACTTACTTTGAATTTGTTAGTTTGTGCTTGTACATTTAAGCCCGTAGGCACTTAAAAAAAAGATGCAAGAATACCTTTTAAATGGTCTTTGAGTAAAACAACTGGGTTTACTGGGGGTAATCCTATATAAGTATGTGCGTGGGTACTGCTAGCTTTTATATTAAATATATACTGTTTTACTTACGTATATATTTCTAGGATTTACGACTATTTTATACACGACAGGGATTAGAAAGGTCCTGTCCTGAAGATTAATTTATTGTAAACTATTTTTTTAGATCAAATTAATGACTCACTAGCAGCGAAATACCTTGGATTTGTGATCAAGTTTGACTTCCAAAAAGAAGTATTTATCTCGTTACCCTTTCAGGGTTAACAAAAATATTAGGAATTAGTGACCACCGCCATTAGCAGTAGGTACGTAAATAATATAAACTGGCTAGGATCCAAAAACGACATTTCTTACTTTGTAACACCAAGGAACAATATAACTTAATAAAATGATGAAGACGTAATCGAACCAAATTTATTCCATGACACTGATCTCATGATATTTTTGTCAAAGATATTATACTCGTTTAAATTTAAGAGTTCATCATCCAACTAACTACAACTGTCGTAGAGAACACGAACTGTCGCGTCCAGCAAGTCTATTTCCGAACTGTCCAACTGTCTTTTGCCAAAAAGTAATCCCACATGTGTATATTTGTCGCATAAACTATATAATGTGTCAGTTTTCGTACTAAAACGATGAAAATACCGCTTGAACTCTCGCGGAAAGTTTGCAGTTTTGTAATTTGTAAAAGTTTTTGGCATTTGGATGTTTGTTAAAACGATATTTTGTTGTTGTTTTTTGAAAATCTAGTATAAATGTGTAAATAGTATGTGTTTGAGAGAGACAACGTGTATATTAAAATTATATGCTTATAAAAAAACGGCACAAAACAAAGAGCGCCGATATCTGACTGATATTTTCTCTTTAAGATTCTTAAACTATCTAAGCTATTTATGATAGTTTTATGCAATTGCCAATTTTATCTATGATTCCACTAACAGTTCAAATATTTTGAGTCATGTCTGTTGATTCCAAGGTTAAAAGTTTAGAGAACTAAAACACATACGTTCAATTTAGAAATTGAGTTCAGCAAAAATGTACGTAACAAATCAAAAATATCCACTCCAGCTCATTCCAAAACTAATAAATTTAAAGCTATACCTAGTCTACACATATGCATACCTTTTGATGTCGGTGTTTGGTACAAAATTACATTAAAAGTAAATGGTTCTGCCTAAAACTAATTTGTTTCGACGATAATTCCTGTCAAAATTTTGACATAGGTCAAGCTACAACAGAATTGTTTTGGTTCTTTATGAATACTATATTTGATATTAAATACAATGTTCAACATTAATATTACCGAGCATGATTTCTGATTGTGTTGATTTGTTTTCTGATTGTCAGGAGTTGACGGAGATGTGTCATGCCTGCGTTTAGCCAGCTTAAATTCTATCTATTGTGTGATGTGTAATATCTTTTTTCTCGCTTTTCAGCAATTTGTGGGAGTGAAGACGAGAAAACGTACGCTATTTGTTTTGAACACTATTCCAAAGTTCCATCCATCCAGAGTTAGGCGTCGCATGCGACTGCTGTTCGGCGTTTGATTTCGAGTAATATCTATTTTTTTCAGTATCAGCTTTTAATTTGAAAGTTTGGTTTGGTTAGTTTAAAGTTGAAAACCCTAGAATCTGCACTGTCAAGATTTTTGGTCAAGTACTCGTCCGGCAACATTGAACTCCATATTTAATAGACTCCATAACAAAAAGCCCTGCACCTAAGCTCCTACAAAGCTAATAACCCTAAGCTCCCTACAAAGTAATAATCGTGTACGAGTATACCGGTCTCAACATTTAACCTATAGTAGATCCTATTCGCTACTTGTTTTTGTGATCCAGTGTGGACTAGACCAGTTGTCAATTACTGTGAAGAGTCGATGTATCTGTATGAAGCTTTTTGCTAAATAATCCTTATGGAGCTTTAGTCTATGTATTTTATATCCGCTGCATGATAGAGGCAATTCATTACTGTTGAATATTGTTTTATTGTTAATTAAGATTAATTAAAAAAGCTTCTGTCGTTTATATCTCCGCAAGTATCATGAATGAATCTATAGAAAATTTTGGTTTACATAAATTGGCTATAGAAATGGAAATACAGGACTAACTTAAACTGATATTGCAAAATCTCCAGGGTTCAATAAGAGATATGAATTTAATGGGCGTCCAACGCATAACATTATTAGCGTTGCCAATGATTATGGAACTGTTAAGCTTTAAGCGGTATGCTTCAAAATATTTTCACCAATTGAAGGAGCTATATTTAAGACTTGATATTAAAAAGAGAGGAACTTTTAAAACGCAGAGCTTAAATCAACAGACATTAGCCTTATGATATCCATGGTATATGCCTCAGGCTATCTGGTTAACATACGTAGCAGAATCCTAATTAAACAGGGAAAAATACTGTTCGAATAAATGTTAGCTTTTCTAAAGGCCTAACATATTTATAATCAATTACACTCTAACCGGAATTTATGATATGATAGCTGTAAAGGGGAAGAAACAGTTGCTTAAATTCTCTTACTCCATCCCAATATCAATAGACTACTTAAAAAGTAAATTCATAGTAAAAATTATAAATGACAGTAAAATGTGTTTTGTATCGTAATTCATCATCAACAACCTTTAATAGTCCACTGCTGGACATAGGCCTCTCCTTAAAAAGGAGGTCTTGGCCTACTACACCGCGCTGGCCGTAATTATTTCGCTTTTAAAGTACTAGTCTATTTAGTAGATGTCACATAGCGTCATCGTTGGACCCCACACGCTATCTATCTAGCTAACTAGTTAATTCTATATTTTGTTTGTTATTGTGAGTTTACCTACTTATTACGTTTTCACACTGTAAGTACTCAACCGACCATCATTAACTTTTTTATACACTTCGTAGGAGTATAGATAACAACCTTACATTCGAAAGTTCGGCCAAAAACTTTTACAATGCTTATACCCTATTATTATTTTTGACAATAACGTATATACGTACCATCATCAGCAACAGCCTTTAACAGTCCACTGCTTTACATAAGCGTCTCTTTAAAAATGAGGTTTTGGCGGTTTTGTTTTACTTAAATATACGTATATATATATATACGTATGTGTACGTATGCTTAAGTTTAAGTATAAATATATTTATCTTGAAACTACTGTAACTATTACACCTAGACTACCATTTGTTTCTTGCTTTTACCAATAAGGCTTCCCATTATACGTACCAGTTTATAATATATTGTTGTACAATGAAGGATATTCTATCTTTTTAACTATTTACACTATCTTTGCATTAGTCAATTTACAAGACCTTAAATTGTCCAAGAACTCGTTTTCCCCAACGGTTGTAGGTTCTGCGGCTAATTTGGCCAGCCCACTGCCACTTCAGCTGCTGATCCGGTAGGCTATGTCGGTGACCTTGGTTCTCTGCCGCCAAACGTAGTGTAGGACGGCCATAGGCCAGGTGGAGTGACGATTTGCGCAAGATGGCTGGCAGGAGCTGGATGCGAGAAGCCCAAAATCGATCTAAGTGGCGTGCAATGGGAAAGGCCTATGTCCATCAGTGGACTGCGATAGGCTGATGATGATGATGAAATTGTCCAAATCTGCTAAATGTCAACTAGATCCATTCCATACATCCAAACATCCAAATTTTCGAATTTTAATCTGTAGTACGATATTTGTGTACCTACATGAAATATTGTTTCTTGGTAATAGGACAGGAGAACGACTCTCGGATGGTTATACCTACATAAAAATATCATTTTTTTGCTACTTAATAACATAATTTGCTCGCACAAGTGGAATGAACCTTAGTAAAACTCCTCCATTGACTGTTTGGTATCGTATCTTACAATTGAATTTGAAAGCAGTTACCTTCGACTGACGCACATTTAAAGTGAGGATGACGATAATTTTATTTAAATTTTTAGTTAAAAAGTGTTTAGTTGTCATTACAACTAAACACTTTTTAACTAAATTTTTTTATTAGATTTAGTAATAAAATCAGAATTAGTATTTTTTTAACAAAAAATAAACTTAAAATAAATTCTAATCAATACCTAAAACACTGCTGAAAATATGTAGAACTAGATAGGCCCGCGGCTTCGCCCGCGTGAATTTTGATTATCACCACCCCCCTTTTCACAACATTTAAGAATGATTTCTAGTTTAAAAACTACCCTATGTCCTTTCCTGAGACTCTATAACAAATTTCATCTAAGTCGGTTCAGCGGTTTAAGCGTGAAGAGGAAACAGACAGACAGGCAGTAAGACAGACACACTTTCGCATTTATTCTATAAGTATAAAAAGTATGGATTTATTTAAAAAACAATTTATTTTTTATGGGGTGGGGGATAACGATCAGACGGGTCGCCTGGTGGCAAGTTACTACCGGCGTTCATGCGTACCAACTCAGGAGTCACAAGTGCGTTACGACTTTTTAAGTGCCCTTCTCCCCATAATTAAGGTAGAGGCCGTTGGAGCTCTAGTCACCCCACTCCCTTGTGGAAAAGCCACGAGAGCTGCTTGATACTATTTTTCTATACGTTTGTTTTAAACTAAAACAGAATCTCTTTTTTTAAAGTCGGTTATAGACAAAACAGACCTCAGTTTATTTTGGAGGTTCAAACTCATGTATAAACACCTTTTAAACTTATACGTTATATGTAGGGAATTATCTAATTTAAACTTTATAACATTAGACATAATAACGTATATTCAAAATCATATGAAATGAACCAGAAAGATAAAACAAATCCAACATAAATACACTTTATCAAAAGTTATGTTATTTACTTTTGGGCATTGTAAAATATAACTTATCTTTAATGCAATATGGTTCAAACTTTATTTTATACATACCTCGACACTGTGGTGTATCTTATGCCCTTTGGGTTTCCATCAACATTCTCCACTTCTTTGATTTCTTCTTTAGACACTGCAACAAAAGATAATTCTTATTTTAGTATCAAAGTATTTTAACAAACGAACAGAATTTGGTGGAAGGCAATGAATGAATAGCCTAACTCCGGTTTTTCGTGAGGTCGTGGTGTCACTCCTGTTGAGCTGGCAAATTAGTGCCGAATGCCCCCTTGCGGGATAAACATGAGTTCACGTATGATGTAAGTCCCCCGGCAATACTCACCATCATCAAATACCATGTAATTGTATCCTATTACATTTCTAAATACATGATCATTGCGCCGCCACATTTAAGAGCCGTCATCTGATTCTGTTTCAACTTAACCTCCATAAGTTGATCATATTACAAAGAAATTCAAGGTAATTTGTTATGTAAGGTAGGAAAAGCGTATAGGGCTTTGTTTTAAAGATCCAAATCAAAAATTCCAATTGCCCAAAGCGTTAGAATATTTAAGTATTTAAATACACATTCTAGAGTTATTTGGATGGATGTTTTACCGTAATATTACTTATGAAGCTTATGTTAAACACTAAAACCGAAGTAGCTTAAACAAAATTAACATTTTCAAACAACTTTTAGCAATATTATAAACTTTATGACACAACAAAAACATGTCGGTAAGCAATTCAAAAGCAGGTTCCAGACATTTGCATAACTATTTAAAATGAACGCTTTATATCGTTGTTAAGGTGTGATCACACACTAGGGGATGCTTGTACTTAATTTTAGCTATCTAGGCACTGACAGTGTCCCGTTGAGAATGTAGAACAACCATGTTTAAAGGCGGGATAATTTTCTGCCTGTTTGAAAAATATTAACTGTTGTGGAACAACAAGATTTGTATGTGGAAGATTATCCGACTAGTCGGATTTTTTAAATAAAAAGGCAACTCACGCATTTATCGCGTAGGACTTTTACAAACATAATTGAAATGGACAAAAAGAACACCCAGACTCAGAACAACAATTTGTGGATCGCACAAAGTGTCGTCCCATGTTGGGATCAAACCAACAACACTCAGCTCTAATAGTAAGATTATGATCATACCGTGCGCTTAATTGATGATGGTATATTATATACTAATCGGCGACAAAACTTACATTACGCGAACTTACATTTGAGATACAAAATATGTTCCTAGTACTAAGGGCTTCGTGACAAAATATAACGTCAAATAATTTTCTAAAATTATTATATTTGATATTAAAGTTCTATCTCTCGATTAAATTCTATTTTGGGATTGAACAAACATAGGTTAATTTAATTTTGTTCAGTAGTGTTTTCAATAGAACATTATTGTTTTTTCTTCAGTTTATTTATAAAGACTGAAGCCATACTAATTAGAATTTATTTACAATGTTTATATTATGTTTTTTTTTTAAAGAAAAGAAAACGGGTTTCCTGTTTATAGAAAGCAGAAACCCGTTTCTTTTCCTTCTTTTAATTTGGGGAGCAAAGGTAGACCGTGTGGTGACGGATTAAGAATACAGAGTGTAACCACCCCTATTCATCCCGCGGGCATCGTAAGAGCCGACTAACGGAAAAACCTACGCAGAACAACAACACTGCAGAGAGAAGCAAAACTTGACACAAACCCTATACCAACCCGTCTGGCCAGCGTGGTATAGTAGGCCAAAACCTCCTTTCTAAGGAGAGGCTTGTGTCCAGCAGTGGACTATTAAGGCAGTTGATGTGATGAAAGGTAACATATTTAATTACAATTACTTTCACCATTACAAAAAGGCTGGTAATGTAAGAAACCCTACAAATATACTTCAAAACGATGTGTAAGACTTGTAATTAACTGTCCCTTAATTACGCATCTCACAGTCACCGTACAATAACGTCATAACTCAGTAACGCATCGCGATCTCGGCGCGAATTCGCCAAGCTTCCATTTTGTTGAAATAAACTGCTCATTCTGTTAGCAGTAATTGTTCTCGCTGTAGGATATCGATCATTCGGTGTGAAAGTTATAAGAAGCACTGGGTGAAACGCCATTTTTCATTTCGTATTATTTGAGCAGTGAGAAGATTTGACACTTTGTGGTTGTATTAACAAAAATGTATAATCCTTCATCAATTTCATCCAACATTTGTCAGTCACATGATAGTAAGTGACTATCACCTGACATGGACAAATGTGAGTTGGAGTATCTCCCAAAGGCCCCTAAGCATGGGGGAGGGGGTTGAGATGGGCCTCTGGTTACCTCAAATCTGAAATGTGGATGCTTGCTTAGGTGGTATCACGCCCAAGGCAACATGAATTTTGTTCTAATATTATTATATTATACACACGTCGACCTATTCACGTAAAATAATGATTTCTCAATAAGTAATTTCACATACTCTTTTGATGGATTTACAAGGAAAATTGATATTCGGTTCTATTTGGTAATATTAGAAATCAATCGTCTGTGATTGAAAGTCAAATGTTTCATACAGTTATTATGTATCTACCTACATACAATTGAATACATTCCTATTATCCGAATATGATATCTGCCTCCTCCTTTCTATTTATATTTTTTAATATATGTACGCCAATAAATTCCGATCATTTCCGAAGCTTGAGATGTATTGAAGAAACAGATTCTACTAATTTTAATTTCACCTAAATTGGGCGTGTCTATTACGTTCTACCGTTCAAAGAACCTCCGGTTGTTATTGAGAATTTATAATGACAATATTTAATAAAAACTTTTTAATATTTGTTTATCAACAAGGTTTTATGTCTAGACTTCTTGATTTCCCTGAAAAAAATTCGTCCATTCAGACTCGCTTTGTAAGGATAGATGAAAAATGGAATCAGAAAAACTATCCCTATATACATTGACAGATTGTCCTACTTTAAAATGATCATCTTAAAAGAAAGACGAGACATACACGGCTCACTGGTTCTATACCAAACTGAAGATGGATCGTTAGGTGCTGAACTAGTCCACCATTTTAATTTTAAAACGAGCGGTTGTTTTGAGAGACATCTCCGTGTATTTGAGACGCCTTTAACTACCTTGAATACTACCTTCAATAGTCCGCTTACACGTATGGCAAGACAGTATAACGAGAGATTCAACGTATCTTACAATGACTTTGATATCTTCTCTATGAAATTTTGTCATTCAGGCACTTCATACTCAGTAATGGAGAACACAAATGATTCTCCTGATATTAAAAGAAAAGGTAATCACATCACATCAACAGCCTTTAATAGTACACTGCTGGACATAGGCCTCTCTTTAGAAAGGAGGTTTTGGAGGAAGAGTCATCCCGTGGGCGTCGTAAAAGCCAACTAAGTGATCAAACTGCGTAGGACAACAGCACTGCAAAGAGAAGGAAAACTTAACACAAACCTTATACCAACCCGTTTGGCCAGCGTGGTATAGAAAAGGTAATACAACACAAAAACTTGAAATTCATCGACAAATCGATTAAAAAGGAATATACAATTAATAATTTTCAATTCTATGTAATGCATACCATAGAAAAAAATTAAGAACCATTTTAAACCCTATCAATAACAGAATACTGTACAATATCACTTATAAAACTAAGTTAGAAATGCTGTAAATATAGGCTATCAATCAGAGAGTATTAGTATTGTACATGTCCATCAAGTTCAATCAGAATCAACTTTAAAATTTCCTAACAACACTACAGTCAAAACTCAAAATAATTAATACTCCAGAAACCGAACCAATAGCATCACTAGACGAAAGCCAATTAAATCCAGCCGGTTTGAATCTGTCACCCAGTGTGGTCGTAATGAAATTTTATCCCAAAATACCCAGACTTATCGAAAGTCGACGTCGTGTACAGGACAGATTCCGTTTTTGGAATTAATTGGAGCCGATCTTTGGAAATATTTTGACGATATTGAAAAATTTCGAGGACACTTTGATATCTGATTTAGGAAGGTCGTAAAATGTTGGTGGATAAGTAAATTGTACAGTGTACATAAATTGAAGGTATTTATGGATATGGTTTTCGTGATATAGGGGCAAATGAGCAACCGGGTCGCTTGAAGGTTGGTGTCCACCGCTGCTAATTGACACTTGCAATTCCATAGTCAATTAAGTATTTATATTATTAATATTGCTGAACCTTAAGTACTCCGCCAGACTTTTAAAGTATTTTTAAATTTGGTTATATGTATACAAATTATGGTGTGTGGTGTAATCCGTCAGGATTAAGAATACAAATTGTCACCACCCCAATTCATCCCGTGGGTGTCGTAAGAGCCGACTAAGGGAGCAAACTAAGCAGGACAACAGCACTGCAAAGAGAAGGAAAACTTGACACAAACCCTGTACCAACCCGTCTGGCCAGCGTGGTATAGTAGGCCAAAACCTCCTTTCTAAGGAGAGGCCTATGTCCAGCAGTGGACTAGTATAGGCTGTTGATGATGATGATGATGTATATAAATTTTGACGTCATTTTTTTATCAGACAAGCTGGATGATGATGTTTTATGTAACATACAGATTAAATGGAACAGAAATACAGATTAACTGGAGCCTAAACTGAAACCCTGTATTTCACGCCTCCAGGACACTTATCCGCGGTGAGAGATTCAATTAGAAAACTTAATTAAGTACAGAAGTAAAAAACGTGTGTGTGCGTGTGTTTAGTGTGTGGGTGGGTGTGTGTGTACAAGTCTGAGTGTTTGTGTGTGTTTCTGTGAGAACATATATATATACATATATATATCCATTTTTCGACATGCCTTCACCCAAAGAAATATCACAACGTACTAACAGAAATATTTTTGTAAGCTTTCATATATGCGTCTGTGCAGAACAATCCTGCAAAAAAAGTAATTTTCTCTAAGACCTTAGAAATTGTGCCTCTACTTTTTTGTCTGTATATAACATTAATAGGTTTCCATCAGACATAAGCCTCGCTATTGAGGAGCCCACAAAAACTCTTTGCTTCAATAAATAGACGGTTTCAAAACCGCAAAACGGTCACGAATGTCTTCGTAGAAAACGTAAGTTATAAGAGGAAGCGATTTTTT